AGCATCTAAATATGCCAGTCTGCCTTTTTCCAACACTTCACAAATTGCAAGACAGCCTTAGAATTACAGGGATCCTAAACACATTTAAACAGAAGAGCGTGTCTTGATACTGCATGAGATTTTTAATCAGCATCATGATTGCAAATGCATTTAAACAGAACAATTACACAGGAAATCATTTCAAATGAATCAGGAGAAATGGTTTTGTGGGATAAAATGGAGATTCTTCGTGTATTCAATTACTTGGCGGTTTGTGGGGGGTTAGAAGGCTTTGAACCTTGTGATTTGTTGTCTCACTCTCCTTTTCCTTTACTGTAACATTTCATTAAGGCCTCGGGGATCACAACAGACCTTAGACATAATCAGCAGACTGTCATTATGGGGCAAACTCAACATAATATGCACATGTAACACATGAAACGCATTACAATCAGCGTGTGGCCCTCTGTCATTATTTCATTCAATGTAAATTGCCTGTAATATTCTTGAAAAAGAAAAACAAAGAGCTGTTATTGAAATGTGAGATGGAACATCCAATCTTCAAGTGGTTTATTCAGCAAAAAGGAAAGAGAGGACTCTGAGTAAATGCTCCTCACCATCTCAGTCAATAATTTAATAATGTGCATCTGGGATTGTGAAGCCACTGGAACACAGGGTAAAATAAAGTTCAAAATACACTATAATTATTTGCAAATGATTTAAGCACGATATTTCATTCTAAGTGATGATTCTAAGAAATGCATTTGCCTTTTTAAAAGCAGATGCTCATTTGCAATTGCATGCCAGTAACTCTTTAAAAATCATAATAAATAAAAAGAGACCAGAGCAGCAAAGAGTCAATTGAAATGTAAAAAAAAGATACCCCGGTGGAGCAGCAGCTCAGATCATGTCTGCTTTAAAGGGAGGAGAATGAAACCCAATGTGGAAGGAATTTAAATTTTATACCTTTAGGAACCTCTACATAAAAATGACAGCTTTTTTTTAGGTCACAAAAATCCCTTTGTTGGTCGAGGAAGCCCTCTGAGAACTGCCGTTTGGGATCACAGCTCCTCTGTACCTCCTTAAATATCAATACCAGCTAACACCGAAAGCTATTGAAACAAGATTCACAAGCGCTGTCATATCTTCTGTGGCAGACTATATTTCAAGACAGGCTGAAGAGTATTGAATAACTGTCCTTTGGCCTAGAGCAGCAGTGACACAGTATAAATTTGTACAAAACCTTGCTGTTTCAAAATGGAAGCTGAAAAGATGATGAAAACTGTTGCACATCAAGAATATTTGAACTCTCTCAATATTAAATGTGTCCTCACTATGCTGCTTAACACTCAATGTATTGTTTTTGTGTGTTTTTCTGCTAAAAAAGGGGACGAGAAACAGTAATGTACAGTGGGTTTCATATAGAAAACATGTGTTCCAGCTGGGGTTTGGGTTTATAATTGGTTGTTTAACTGGAGAAAAACATTAGCGTTACAGATTGTGAAAGTGTGAATTCGAAAGTACGAAGCTATGCCATCATGCTGAGCAGATCTCTTAAAATCGGCCATAAGAACGGGCTTTCTCCTGACAGGTTATTACTTGACCCGTGTGGATTGGGTGAAGCTTTACGGCGTTTTTTTACGTGGACTGATGCAAACAGGCTGTCACCCTCAAGCGTCTTAAAAAGTGCGCCGCAGACATGGTCCACTCACACGGCGGCGTTATCGCTCTTTTATGTGCCATCTGCTGCTTCCCACGGAGACCGCTCCACCTGTGGCTGCGCGAAGTTTTCAACGTGTGAAAGGGAATTAGGGACCCGGGGAGCTGTGATGAAAACACGGCATACCACAGCTCCCGTGTGAATCCAGCGCCTCTTCATTACCGGGCCTCCGATAAGGCCTCCGGAAGGCCAAACAGCACCGGCCTGCCAACTTTCTCCTGCGTTCTTATCGGAACCTCTGTTATCCCTGTAAGCGTTCGGTGGGAAAGCTTAAGAGTATCTGAAACTGTTAAGAGAACTGTTTTGGTACAAGCTATCGTATTTGAGAAAGATGTTGTGATGAGGGTAGATAGGTGGGATAAAGGGAAAGAACATAGAGGGTTTTCAAATGGTTTGCACTGAAACTACAGGGCGGCAATCAGACACACACAGTGTTGTGTTTTTCTTCTGCTCTCCTAGATGTTGTGGTCTGATGTTTCCTTGCTTTTGTGTGAGATTTTGGGTTGACTCCTGGAAGCGGGAGAGCCCTCACTAAAGCCGTGTGGTCTCCCACTCTGTGACCAGCCCACCTCTGTCCGACCATGCCTCTCTCATCTGGCTTGTTTGTTGAGTTTTGGTTTCAGATTATGAACTATTATGGTGCTAAATCCCTTAAACTGACAAATCATTACCATAAAGTCCAGACAATTCCTGCCGGTATCGGTAAAAAAGATAACAGTAAGCTCCATCAAGGCGCTGGCACGGGAAAGGGCGGATGACTTCACCCTGTTTGCGGCTGCAACTCATAAATCACCTCCCAGCATGTAGCCTCACATCTGGATGTTGACTCTCTGTGTTAAATTCCCTCTTGGACTGACAATGATTTGCAAAAAAAAAAGTAGCCCGTTTGCTTACAAAAACTCATAAAGATGTTGTTTCAACTCATCTTCAAAGAAATTCACCATACACTGCAGAATGTTTTTCCGTGCTGCCGAGAATCTGAACTTGCTTGTTACGGGTGCCAAGTCATACATCCTGAATTCTCCCTTTCTTGCATATATTTAGGAAAACATCTAATATCACACACGCTAACGAGGTTAATATGCTAGCTTTGCTGGAATCTCTGTGTTTACATGTGACGCGGTGTGATGCTTCGTCTCTTTGCGCCAGTGGGGCGAGACCTGAAGCATGAAAAATAGGCCTGACGGCTGTGAGGAACACATATGCAGCTGATAAGCTCCGTTTAAAAAACAACTGTCAGATGGAGGTGATCAGTGTGCAATTCTGCCAGGAAAGACACATTCCAGTTTTTTGATGGGCGCCAGCTCTCATTAAGAAACATCGAACACCGAAAGACCACGAGAAGTCTAATGAGTTTCCAATGTCGTTCTGTTGATCTTGTGCAATACACACACACACACACACACCCCAATTGACCCGTAACTTCTCAATGCAGCTGCAAAAATCTGCAACAAACAGCTTTGTGATGTCCGGCCGCGTGATTGAGGATCAGTGGTATGAGACGGGAAATGCTGCCACCTTGTGAGCATGTGGAGTTGATACAGTAGTTGATCCCCCTAACGTTCAGTCAGAAAAGGCCGATAAGTACCTTTAATTTTGTTAAATCTCTGACACTTTGTAGTGCTTTAAGTCACTGATGGATCCTTCAGTCCTTTGGGTTGGATAGGTTTGGATTGTTTTGTCCTTAAGCAGGACACGTGGGTAGGAAATGGTACGGCACACTTTGTGGGATCATTAGCAGTTTCATAAAAAGATCACAAAGTGTAGAAATGAGAAGCTTCATGACTCATCCAAGCTTGAAATATGTCAAATCCCCAATGAGAGCAGCAGTTCTATCTGCAGTCACTTGGTGACGCTATTTAAACACACTGCATGCTGCGGAGGGTTCCTCACACCAGAGAGGGATAACACAGAAAATTGATGTTTTTCAAAGCGCAAACAAGCAAGTCAGCAAAGTTCAAGGATGATTTTTCTCATTAAATCTGTACTAAAGTTGCAGAAGTGGAGAGAGAGATGAGAAAAAACTGAAAAACGTTCTCAGGTAAAGAATGGAATGTCCCCCGATTCTGTAATGTAGCTGAAGAGCAGGATTTAAATTGCCTGCTTTGTCAAAGTCTTCCTTAAGTTGCTTTCATCCGTCCTGCTAGTATTCAAAAGTTGTCGCTGAGTCTGCAAATACCCTCACAGATCAAAAACAATTGCATTAACTTAAAAGTTTGACACATGTGAAAATACAGTCGGAAATCGTTGGTTTTAAAGGATGTGGTACTTTAATGAGACCAAGCTTGTAACCCTTCATGCAAATAAAAATCTCAACAGCTCAGTTTTCTCCCATTTCTGAGTTTATTTCATCTCTATCAGTAGTGGCTATAAACATCCAAAAGCTCATCATCATTGTTCAAGAAGTGTGTAGAATACAGGCTGATCCAATTTTTTTTACAAGGAAATTATTAAGCGAAGACCTTCTTGCTTCCTTGCAGCCTAAATCTAACTGGGGCACAGATGAATGCTGACTCAAAGGAAAATAAATGAATGTTTAAGGAAATTAAAAACAGTCTCAAGGCTGGAGAAAAAGTTGAACTTAACTAAAGTGTAAGCAAATTGACTCAAGGAGAAAAGCAACCCAAACAGACGCATACACTTTATCTACTCCAATCTGTGCAAAAGCCCATTAGGTAAAGTATGCATTTCCAAAAATAAGTGGGGAAATTGGTGCCTTTGAAGCTAACATGTACCTAACATTTCACATTGGGGCTAAATGAGCAATCAAGGGTATTGATGTACACAGACTCTGTGTGCTGTTCATTTAACGGTCTTTTGCTGGCAAATCAAATGAGTTGAGAAATCTTTTCCAGACAGAGCAAAGCATCGTCTAAAGTTATCTGAAGACATCAAACAGGAAGGGGGAGGCGGTTGGTCGTGACTCCACATCAAGCTGTCAAACTAATGCTCAAAGTTAGACTTTGAATTTTTTCATTTTTCCAAACTGGGTCAAAGACCAGTGTGGTCATATAAAGTTAGAAGGTGGGCTCTCGTGCATCTAAAACTGTGCGCCTCATTATGTGATGGATTTTAATCAACTTCCGCAGTGCCGGTTAAGATTAGCAGCATGCGAAAGCCTGAGATGTTTATTAAGGCTCACTGGGAGTCAGCTGATTAAAATGCTAATCGTTTGACATCACTAAAGCAACTGGTTTTGTTGGAATCTAAGATAATGAACAAATTAGTGATGTTGGGCAAAAGTACAGTTACAATCAGTTACACAAATTAACAATGAAATTAAATGATTTGCTGTGATACTGACACTAATATGACACAATATAATTGTATATATAGATATGTATAGATATATAATCTAAAGGTATCATTTGACCTAACCTAAATTTTAACTTTCAAAGCCTTGTCCACTTCTATGGTCATTTTTCCAGGCTTAATCAAATTTGTCTTTCCTGCTTCATCAAAGTCTTTTCCTTTATTCATACAAAAAAAAAAACTTGAAAATTGGTCATTGGCTTTAGTGTCTGACATGGTTTGAAATTAGCCCCCTAAAGGCCTTCAAAAATTCATGTTTGCCAGCTAGACACATTTTGCCAGTTTTGGATAGGAGAGTTTTTCAGTTGGCTGACCGCGCTGCATTTGGCTGAAATGGTTCAAGTACAAGTCATGTTGAGGTGGGCTCGAGGCCTCTTTAAAACGTTGGTTATGGGTCCACTCAGAGTGTAAAACTCACTGAAAATACACACATTTATGGGTATATAAGTGTAAAACCACAACTCAAGTGATACCATAGACTTCAGTCACTCTGATTAGAGTTTATGACTCAAGTGCCATCACAGAGAAGTAGGAGGGGAAAAAAAGGTCAATAGGGAGTTATTTGAGTTTTTCTGAGATCCCAGCAGCTAACATCACAGCTCAACAAGAAGCATAAATGTGCAGCACACTGGGTGTCTGCAGTTAGTATGTAAAGTATGCATAAGAGCGATAAAAGGTTGCCAAAAAAAACAGACAAAAGACATCTGGTTGTCTCTCAGGAGGCTCTGAGGTCTCTTTGGACAGCTTGGAACAGTTGGACCAGGGCGTGGGTCCACACCTCCCTCTGGTGCTTGTTAGTGATGTTGGTCAGCGTCTGGGAGGTGTAAACCAAAGTCAGCACCGTTCTCTCAAAGTCCCGCCAGCTCATGGGGCGCTGCCGCTGGGAGAGATCCGCCGCCAGACGCCGAATGTCTGAGAGTTTCTTGGGCAGGATGTCCTCACAGATGACTTCCAGCTTTTCCACGCTTCTCAGGGAGGCCAGCTCCTCATCTGGGATCTGCAGCGGATGCCGCTCGCCCCGGATCTGCATTCCGGCCAGCAGAATCTGAAAGATAAGCGCCAGCTGACGTGAGTGTTCCGGAACTGGCTTCCATTTGACTGGTTTCCAAATGATATCAGTACCTTATCAAAACTATACCAGTCTACCAAAAGGAAAATATTTCACAGAATGTGAAATGAGCTGGAGATGTAAGACGCGAATAAACATTCCCTTCATCAAAGTCAGGAAGACTTTGGATAAACACATATTTCACATTTCTGCTAATCATTAGCAGGGCCGTACACAGTGTTCGCAAATGGGAATTCTGGAGAGGTCCCGTGCTCATTCTCAGCAGGCTGGACTCTCCCTAAAGAAGAGTTGTGTTGTGATTCAATTTTGGACCCTTTAAAGGTGTGAAACTGACCTCAAAAAGCAGACTGGCGTCCTTCTCCGAGTGCTGGAATGTTGGGTTAATAAGTGAGTATGCCCCACGTTTTATCGTATATGCAGATGGATACAGAGCTGCAACACATGAGAACAGGAAATTGGATTAGATGAAGTCCCTGCGGTCTCAGAAACGAGGCACCGTGTCGTCCAGCACGGCTGGGCCAGAAGTTGAATAAACACCAGGTGGTTACAGCTCAAATACTGCTCAGGTGGATAAGAGAACGTGGCTCTAGCTGTGAAAGGCATAAACCGGCCTTGGAGGTGAGATGCCTGCTTGTTTGTAGCAGACCCGAAATGGCTCAAACCGACATGGACCCACATGTAACAGGGCCTACTTTCCTCTTCCTCTATTCTGCTCACTGTTCATGTGCATTGTGAATCATCTGAATTTGGATTCCATCCTTCTTCGACTCTACATAATCTACATTGTGAATTGTACCTGCTTCCAGTTTGGCTGAGGGCCAGTCTAAGCTCCGGCATTGCTTTCACAATACAATCAACGTTCAGAATGGAAAGTATGTCCAATCTTTAGCTCCATGTAACATTGTTGGAATGATCATTTAAACCAATTCTGGAACATTTGTGGAATCCTCAGCTTATTATCTCAAAGGTGTCATCAGCCCAAGTCGTTAGCCATAAGGTGGGTTTTAGACACTGATATAGAAGCTCCTTGCAGATAATCTCCACAACCCTTCAAGGTTTTAGTTACAATTAGACATTACAACTTCTCCTGCATTTCTAACCTGACATGGGTCAAATATTTAAACAGTGATTACATTTTAGAAGTACTCTCTTCCCCCACTTCCGCATCAGGGTTGGGGAAAGCATTTTGTATCATCCTCCTTCACTTTGTTTCCTTTGCCTGACACTATGTATTATAACTATGTAATAAGGGAAAAAAGAGATGGATACAGCTGCTGGAACTTAATTGCTAAAGTTAATATAAGTTTAATAGTTAGTGATGGCCACTGTGCTGGTGTCTAAGACAAATATAAAATAAATATACATGATTTTTTTGTTCTTAGAGTTTTAAGTATCTACATTATTACATACAAACATTTCTATCACAGATGAAAAGGTTACTATATAACAGTCATGACAAAAGGAGTTGGTCAACAGGGATTATGATAAGCCTCTGCTTCACCGTGTTAGCAAATATGTTGAATGACTGATGCTGGAGGCTTATTCTGTATAATTTTCTTTTTCTTAGCTCTGACACGTTCCACTCTGCAGTTTGACTTGATAAATATGGTTTCCAGTTTTGATGTCGACAATTTCATTCATGTAGCATAGCACAATCTGCCATTTCTCGGGGTCTTTAAACCATCTATTAGTCAGCAATACTGAGGCAAATTAGAGATCTTTAAATACTAACCATGGACAATGTTACTTTGAGGTGAACACTCTCCTCATTCATGCAGCAAACATATCAACAGCAGAGAGAAGACGCACTGTTAATATACTATATTATATTATATTATACACTGAACAGACAGCTTGAATGGGGCATTGATGTAAACTTAACACCAAGGGGGAAAGGGTGGTAATTATAACAAAGGTATTATTATATTATTAAAGGCTTTAGAGGCTGCAGTGAAAAGACATCCAGTGCAATGCTGTTTTTGCATTTAAAATTGGTAACAAGCTATTTACATAAAAAGGCAGCTACTAGTCTCTGTCGGTGTTTACTGTAGAAAATTGCCCTTTGTTATGCTGGAGCATTTATTTGTGTTTCTGGCTACAGCAGCAGTTATTCCTGCTTTGTAATCATTAGGCGGGAGTTCTGCAAGTATGGAGAAAAATAGACCATGCATCTTTAATGTTATTCATACTAGATATAAAGTAATCCTTTTTTTGCCTGTATGGTATTAGTCTATCAGCTAAAGAGGACAGCAGTCGTTAACTGTCTGTAAAAAATGGATTGTGAGGTTTTGATTGCAGGTGCAACAATGGTAACACTGCAGGGAAGACCAAAGACAAAACTGGAATATGTGTTAGTCTGGATTACTGGAAAACTATACTAAACAAAACACATAGTTAACAGAGACAAGAGATGAATTTATTAGGGAGAGAATAGAATTGGATTGGATGCAAAATCAAGTCTGAGGTGATTTAAGAAGATGTGGGGAAGCTCACTTCTCTTTGAAGCACTACCAAATAAGTCTTCTAAGACAATTAGGGCAAGGATACCATACTTGATTTAGAGTTGAAGGAACCCCCACCAAAAAGGCTTCACAGAATCCCTCACATTAAGGGAAAAAAAACTCCATAGTTTTGTCTTTGGGTCAGCAGACCTAGAATATAAAGATGGAAGAAGAAAACATAGAGTGCAGCAGTCACAGACCCACACAGTTTTCAGAAACACTCAAATCATCTCATAAAGTAACAGATTGTCTCGCAAAATGGCCAAAGCCACCAAGCAGTGAGGGCCCTTATCGCTGAATGGGGTCATTCAATAGCCCTTGTAGCAATTCAGTTTTACTGAACGTGCTCAAAAAGAGCCACAGCAGAACTAAATCTTCTCCCAAAATGGAACGAGAGGACGTGACACTCCTGCACCACAAACACAGTTCAGCGTCATATACACAAAACAACAACATGTGACCACAGATGGGGACTTGGAATCAGTTTCCAATTTTCTAAAGCACTTTAATCACACACCACGGAGCTTATCAGTTCCTTTGTCTATGCCAGCAGGTTCCACCGAGGCATACTGATTGCGAATTAGCATGTCGATCCACGAGTGTTCCTGCTGACTCTCAGCTGAAAGAGAAGGAAAAAAACACCAGGCCAAAGCATATATGGCTATTTATCATGAAGAAAGAAGGTTACAACCTCAGATTAATGTAAGCAAAATGAATGTTCTCAGCTAAGGAACAAGCATCAGATGCATGTGGAGAAAATATTTCAACCCAACATAAGATTCACTTCCACAGCTGCCATGCATCTGGATGCGAGCATTTTCTCCTAGCAACAAAGTCAGAATGATAACAAAATCATGTTTTTGTCTATCGCTTCTTCTATTTGAGAAGCAGACTAAAATACTGTTGAGAAATTAGCTCTGAGGCTACTGACATTGCACGGCAATAAATTAGCTTTTCAGGGAAAGTTGTGGGTGAAGAAAAGGTGAAAGTCTCCCCTTCCTGTGGCAAAAAATAGTCATGAAAAGCTTGTGCTCCTTCTAAAGGGAGGCAAAACCACATTCCTACTAAGCTAGTCATTGTCAGCTTCTCGAGCAGCTGTTTTAAAGACTTTTAAGCTTTAAAAATGATAGGCTGATATGTAAATGTATACATATATATTCACACACAACATACACACAAACACACACATATTTACAGATCAAATAGGCATCCATAAATGCTGTTGTGCAAACAAGCTCCGGGCAAATACTTGCTCATACTGCATAACCGCACAACAGCTCACCAAAAGCCAAAATAGCAGCAGGGCCATGTGCTAAAAAGCAGCTTCAACACATCAGAGCAATCTTTTGGTTTCTGGCTGAGCAGCCTCTCAAAAGCTGGATGACTCTGTGTGCTGTCACAATGCTGGATTTCAACCAAGATGGACTGAATCACGCAAGAGTAGCAATGATCCCCGAAGAGTAATCATATAAGTAGAACACATTGTTTGAGGAAATATCAGGTTATAAAAATGCATGTGTCATTTGTCTGTTTTTACAGCAGCAGCTTTCTTTTCTGATAGAAGCTAATTGCTAAATAGCTGAAATAAGCTCAAAGATTTGTATTTTTGCTTTGATTTTTATCTTGCAAGATGACTAATTGGAACATGACGCTTCATTAGGTGCTGATCTCTTGTCCTAAACATGAACCATTCCAGTGCTGGTTTGGGTTCAAGCATACGCTGATATGGTGGGAAGAAAAACCCTTTTACACCATTTAAAAAGTGCGGCTACTTATTGTGCTCCATAACTCTTAAAACTGACACACATTACAAGGTAAAAAACTCCTCTCAGAGCTCCTTTTGCATCTTGAATTGTAGAATGTGTCATTACAGCAAGATTAGGATAATCTTCTTTAAAAAAAAAGAAAACAAGTACACTGGTACTTGTGCTGGTCAGATGATGACAAGAGGCAGGAGGGCAGGGAAACAAGGAGAATTTATGAAATGACAAAATGGTTTGTGATTATGATGAAAATGACTTTGTTCTTTGTGTAATCACAACTCCCCATGAAAAAAAGGCATTTATTACTTTACTCTAGAAGGAGTTGCAAATTGAATTTCCCCATATCTAATGAATTACTGTAATTTTACATCAGCACTGACAAGTGTAGAGGCGCACAGCTGTAATTTTCACATCAGCAACATGCAGAGCACTACATTGTTGGATTGCTATGATTACATTTTGCACACCAGCATGCACAGCGCACGTTTCACGTATACCGTTTGAACAGTTGAAACAGTTTAAAGTAAATACAGTTCATTACACTGCATTGTGAACAAGCATGCATTCATGATATAGTGGCTGGCGGACGAATTGCGAGCGGTTAATGGTGCAGAGAGAGAAGCATCTGTTCCAATGACAACACAGCAAGTCAGGAGACCCACAACAGAGACAATGAAACAAACAAATCTGAAAACTCTGTCAGTGCAGACGGGCCTCACCCTTCAACCAGCAACCTTCAGGATTAAAAAGTTAGCTATACTCAGGCAAAGAAAAAAGTTGGAGCTGGTTGTGTGAGTCTGGTTTTAGAAGCTGGTCAATCCCTGAATACTTCAGTGATGGAAAGCAATGATTACCAGTAGGTAATAACACTCTAAAGAATAAAGATGTGTTTAAGATGTGCTTGTGGAAATTGCTACAGTGAAAAATTTACCTTAAGAAGAAATCAGTCATATTGCATTATACATCACTCCCCCTGTTCATCTCTTTCCAGTGAAAAGGATTTGATGAATATGCAAATGCAGTCACATCCCCTGCTCACCAGCTCTGCAAAAGCTCAGTTGACAAGTTCCAATTAGAAGCAAATTGTAATTTGACTCTGATAAGGGTTTTCTAACTCGATGTCAACGAGCACAACACTCACAGCCTTTTCACCACGGCACCTGCTTGACCTGGTTTACAGTAAGTGACGACAACTCTCGAAACGCTTTCGTTTGCTCTGGTCTGCCCAGGTCTGGGCGGAAACATTTGTAGTTAGAGGGGGGACAAAATGGATGAATCAGAAACAAACCATAGGTGTTACGAAGGCAGGAAGGTGTTTCATCGTGTCTGCGATTGAATAGTTCTGAATCTATTTCTGTCCAAAACGCTCCCACGGAGTAGAGGAATGGTCTGCACTTCTCCGATTATGTCAGTGGGAAGTTTTTAATCCCAGATACTGCTGAAGATCTGCCTGCCCTTATCTGGATCACAGTTTGTTTCTGACCATGAAATGTTTTATTTCCCCCACCTCAGTACAGGCATTTTCAACCAGTGACTCATTCCCCTCGGAGGATAAATGTTTTCTGATAAAACCAAAACACTTGAATCTACATTTTAGAAAAAGGGAATGTAAGGTATTTTATGTTTATCTTTCAGATATTAATGCGGGAAAAACAACCCCTCAGTAAACTGTAAGGTGATTAATGTTTTCAATACAATTTTTTCTTGCACAATTTCAAGTGGTATGCTGCATAAATATGCTCTTTATCACAACATCTCAGCTTTCCCCGTTACTCCTTCTAAGCCCTCCATTTGTTAAACTTCCTCCAGCTCTCCAAACAATCAATGTTTAGATGGGCAGGCTTCCCCCGGTGTCATTATGTAGAGGCAGGGAACTTGTAATCTCCAGCTAACTGCTTGCAAAGCGATGAGGGAACAACAGAGGTTCATTAATTAACCGCGCTAAACGGCGCTCCTCGCTGGAAGGATGTTTTGGCAAGACAAACGGAAAAATAAACATAAACACGAAACAAAATACACGCCTGGATCCCCCAGGTGTGATTCTGAGAGGGGTGAAAAGGTCATAGATGAGATTAATATTCTCGCAGCAACAGCTCACTGTCTGCGCTGTAATGTGAGTATTAAAGTATCCAGAAAATCACAGGTCTCATGAGTCATATTCCATATCAAGAATTAACACTGCAAACAAAGCCTGAACCGTTCGGAGCTCAGAGCGTGCAGGAGACACTTGCACACTCTGTAATAACAGAGGATGGTGGAGAATACGCACTGGCAGAAACCCTCACAATGCACAAGAGCTCTGGTCTTTTTCACACAGTTATTCGGCTGTAGGTGAATTGGAGGGAAAACAAACCAACTTTTTCTGTCATAAACGCTTACCGTGAAAGTTATGATAAAATGTGTCAGTGTTTGCCTTCATTTTCCTAATGGCTGAAATCACAAAAGTGGATTATATTGCTATAAACATGTCTTTCAATTGTTTAATCTTAATGTGGTTCCAAAAAGAAGCAGCTGAACTCGTCCATTTTGATGTGAAGGCATTAGAAAACTGAGCAAGTTGCTTCAAGTGTGCCTAACCTGTGAGCCCAGACCCAGACTAATAGTGCCCTAAACCTAGACAAAAACAACCAGAATTGGACAATGTAAAAAGGAGCATCTCTTGTAATCCAACAAAACGAGAGGTTATAAGTCCCTCATGGCATCTCTGATAAGATGTAGGTGTAAAAAATATCAAAAAAAATTCCTGATCCTGCTCATATTGAAGGGTTATGGTGTGTTTTAAAGACCAAGGAGAGTTACGGTCCCAGTGGGGAGGACAAAAAAGCATGTAAAGTTGGGAATAAAAAAAAAAGAATAAATTCAGAGATCAAAAGTTTAATTGTTGAAATGATTAGATACCTGCTTCTAATTTCCTCTTCAGAAGATCTCAGCCTCTGTGAATGTTGAGAATGGAATTTCCTTCCATGTAGCGCCATCACTAACAGGCCAGTCACATTTTCGCTGGAACTCAATCTGTGGACATCCTGCGGTTTTATTTCATGTTCTTGAGAACTCTAGTGGGTAAACACATTCTTTCTCCCAGACGCAAAAATGAAACACGTTGTCGACCATCGTTAAAATCATTCAAATTACTTCTGAGCTTCTGAGTTCTTCAAAAATCTAATTATTAATCATTTAGTTCCACACGAGGAAAAAAACAGCAAGGAAAATGTGCTTTTTTTAAGCAACTGATGTGTGCCTCTCTTGTGTGTGCCTAATGACAGATGAAGATTGCATGTATTTAAATGAAATCCTAAATAAAAAAACAGTCTTTACAGCAGCAAGTGTGTCCTCCTACCTCTCCTGTGGTGCTGCATGGCGGCCAGGAGGATGGACAGGTAAACAACGATGAGGAGAGCCCACCACTGCATCATGCTGATTCTCCAACTCAGATCTTCACTCCCAAATCCACACACACGCTCTCCAGAGAGCTAATCACAGTCATAAATGATGATCACAAAGAACTCTCCCTTACACATCTCCCATGCATTAGCCTAATGTGCAGGATCATTCCTTTATTCACAGTTTGTACTTTAATGTTGCCTCCTCCCTCAATTCCCCCTTCACAAGTCCTGTTTTTTTTCTTCTTTTTTTTTTTTCCTTGTGTGTGTGTGTGTTCTCTAGTCAGGCCAGACAGTCTGGGCTCCCATCTGGAAATCATCAGCGTTTGGAGAAAAAGCCTGCCCCCTTGGCCTAACTCGTCTCAAAACCAATGGATGACTGCGTGACTGGTGGACGGCTTCGGTAACATTTGGATTTTTCAACTGCCGCAGTGACCATAAAGCAATCACCTGACAGGCCGAGTGCAACCGCCAACGACGGGTCAAAAAAACAAAATGAAAAACAAAAAATTCCTGTGCTTTCAATCTCCACGAAAAAGCACTTAATCGCACATTTGGACATCTAATTGCCACCATCATTTCTGTTGGATAACATTAATTTTCAGCAGTTTGATAGCTCAAGAGTGGGAAAATTACAACTTCTAGAGCCAACAGACAGATAAACAAGTTTGAGCAGCTGACATGTTTCAAATAAACTAACAAAGTGAACAGATAAGACTCCCCAGCCAAAAAAAAACATGAAATACTGCAAACAAGTTGTTGTTTGTGTAGTCAGTCAGAGTGTCTGCGGGACACTCTAGCATCAAACATTTGTCTTCATTTAGCCACTTCAACCAGTCCAACCTCAACAACATCCACCATGGAGACGCTCAATGAAATGTAATCGAAAACAGAACGCAGTGCCTTAAACTGTAAGAACAAAAACTTTGTGGCTTCATGGGGTAACCACAGCTTTAAAATGAAATAATTTTCTTCAATCCAATCCTGATCAGTGTTTTGTACTTGACCTGTTTGGTTATAGAGTCTTGGTCTCTTTGGTTGGTAGTGTCACAGACCGGCAGGTGTGTGTAAATAAACAGAGAACACACGCTTTATAAAACTAATTGTTCGACTCCTGTATTTAATTTGCAGTGCTACTTAAACAGCTTATTTGTTATTATTTTTTTCATTCCACTACACCAATGTGCAGTGTGTACTACTGACCCTTTGCCAATTAACTCCGTTGTTCCTGGCCCACTTGGGATCCTTCCCAAAGACCAAACAGAAGAATTTTATAAGGAGAACATTTAAACCCACTTTACTCACCTTGGTTTGGATTTGGCATGAGAGAGCGTGCTCTAATTCTTTCCAAACATTGTCAGTTCTTCATCTAAACAGCAACACTAACGACAGAAGCCAGCAGATATAGTTTACATTTTACGTGTATTATGGTATCTTCCCTGAAGTGAGATGTTCAAATTAAACAACGAATTGAAACATGCCATTTTAAAAGAAGCAGAGTCTTTGCTTTGAGGCACTGTTTGGTGGCAGGTTTTTATAAAACACATATGACAAAGTCCACACTGAGGCAGTTAGAGATGAGAGAAGCCAGCACCATTAATTTGAGGACAACTCAAAGCGCTTTTTCAAGGGTGAATGTTCTTCTCCCTGTCTCTGCTTTTCATTGTCTGAGGATATGTGAAATAAATACGCGTGTAAAATGAATAACACTGGCGCACAGTGACATGTGTCCCCACAAAGCTCTGAAATAAAATAGTGAAGATATTATGCTGATGCTCTTATGTCTGTGGAGTTTAAAGCACTGGGAGCACAACACTGAAGGGTGGCACTTAATTACGAGAGGCAGAAGATATCAAACTCTATGTTTTCTAGAAGCAGAAGCAGTTTATCCTTATCGACACCTTGCCGCCTCAAAGAAACTCTCTAGAAAAAGTTTCCTTTTTTAATGGAAACCCACAACATTTCTGTCGATAAAAGCTCTGGCAGTTGAGACCCAGTGTGCAGTGACGCAGGGCAGCCAGAAGATGAGCCGACCCCATTTTGGGAACCATACATTTATGCCTTTTGAGGATAACAGGGTCACCAGTGCTGCAGTTTTGTTGAAGGTTTGGGGCTACACAAAAGAACAGCCTCCTGAGAGGTGGCAAATGTGTGAGTCCCGTCTCTATTTATGTAATCTCTCTACAGTGCAGCGAACATAATGGGACCCCCATATGTGACACAGCTTTGGAGGTCTGGTAAACAGAGCACAATTTATAGCAAGACGGGTCTTGATAATTATCTAATAATTTCCTCTAAATTGGGGACAGTTTTTTTATTTTTTTCGTTTTAATAATCCCACCAATTTTATCCCTTGAAACACTGCTTTTATGCACTGCCCTTTGTAGCTGAAGCTGAGAGGACCAGAGGGGATTTTTTCCTCAGAACTGATGCAGTTAAATTGGAAATAACCCTGTCGGAGGAAAGGGGCTGAAGAGGGCCAGGCGGTGGAATAGCGAGATGAAAGAAAGTTCAGAGCATTTCAGGAGATCCAGGAAACGCATGGCAGAACATAACCTGGAACATGATGAAGAACAAGATGAGGGGGGGTGAAGCAGGAAGTACTTAAAATGAGGAAGCTAATGACATCCAAAGGTCAGGTGTGGTAATGGGCTGATTACATCGAGGTGTGCGGGGACAGCAGGAAGGACAAAACACTGAGGACCCTGAGGATATTAAAGAGAGAATACGTGTGAAGCAAAGCAGAAAACCAAACATGAAAAAAAAAAGCCATTTCTAAAAAAGTTATTCCATCAATCAAAAACGATAATTTTTCGTATAAACATAAACAACAACCTGGTATTTCTTTTTTTTTTATGGGAAAATTTTGAAGCTTGATAAATCTATACCGGGTAGGATTCCTTTGTTTACGTCATTCTTTACTGTTACCTCACCTTATATGTGAGTATTTGCTTGTAGCAGATGGACACGAAGGAACTGATGCCATTTTATTCTTGTTTTGTACCCTCTAGAACTATATATATATATATATATATATTTACATCACATGGGCTACACATAAGGCGGAGGCAGATGGCTTTCAACATTCTTCTCTTAGAGCTCATATTCTCTGTGCCTGCAAACACACTCAATTCAGCCAAAGAGAGGCAAGAAAATCCTTCTTTTTAATGCATCAATTGTATTTTCTTTGCCTTTAAGACCATGAGGGGGCAGTGTTACAACACATTCTGAGAGATCCATAACTGCCCAACTTATCCAAGATCCTGCAGTGATTGCTGCTCACCAATTCTTCCGACGATGCTGCATTAACTCAAAAATAATTTAATTCCATTCGGATAAGGTCTGGCAATATGAATGCAGCCACTTAACAGAGATCAAAGGGCCGTACGGGTTCAAACCAGGTGGGGACCCTCGAGACATCCTTTAGTTTAATTGCTTCTGTGCTGTAAATCACTGGAATGCCTTGAATATGCAAATTCTTATGAGGCCACTGTAAATCTGAACTTGCGTGAGGCTTGCTTGGTAGTCAAATTGCGCATCACATCAGAAGTCTGCAGCTGCAGTTCTGTTCTCCAACACAGTGGATCCAGATAATAAGTAAACACCCAACCTGACTGTTCTTCTGGGCTGAAATTTGTTCCGTTGTCTTTTTTTTTCTCTCCAGATGACACATTCACCCTCTTATGGCTATTTCCAATGATAGATCAACACTAAAGCCATTTCATGGCAAGTAATCATACGGATGGCATCGCTCAGTGATGCTACATAAGCCTTCTTGGGCCATTTGACAGATTAAGTGTTAGACTTTTCAAATAAAATCTTCCCTAAAAATAATAAGCTTTCTGCCCTCGTCAAACTTTCATTGTATATGGCCTTGCTGTTCTGCACAACGGAAAGGGGAGGAAAAAGACTAAATAAAGCCCGAACACAAGTGGTAAGTAAAAAACATTTGACATTTCACAGTCACGAAAATTTATGATCAAGGCAGGAACATTATCGCCGAGACAGATCAGCAGAGTAATGCGCACTCCGAGGATAATTACGACTTCAGAAAGTCTGAGCCGTGAGGCAAGATCGAGAAAAAAAACAGCGACAGCTTGTAATGAACTCCCTGAAAGTTTAAAACTAAGAACTATTGATGGAGCGTAGTTAGCGGCAGGCAGGGCCGGATTTAGGAGGATGGGGGCCCCTGGGCTGGAGTCAGGATGGGGGCCCCTGGGCTAGAGTAAAAAAAAAAAAAATATATATATATATATATTTGAATGTGTTTGTTTTGTTTTAGAGGATGAGCAGAAAATGACCGAACAGTAAGTTTTGACAACTTACAACTTTAATAAGCCAGTTGTCACAAACTACAAACAACTCTGAACTCTTTTCTAGAAAGACTAAACCACATGTTGGGGTTGAAACTAGAATATGATGCTTGCATCACAAAATAAAATCACTGAATAGTGAACACAAACTATAAAACAGATTGAGTGCAAGAAAGTGCAATGCTCAAATATACTTTTACAAAGCAAAGCGAGTAAAACAATATTTATACAAATATCCCCAGCATTTACAAGTCCAAATAAGTACAAGTGGAATATATCAAAACTCAAACTTTTTCTTTGGTTTTAAAGTTCTTGGTAAATAGTGGAGGAATTAAATGTCAAAAAAGTGCTTCTCTGCCAGTCAGACAGAACATGGATATAAACAATATCTTCTGGAAAAAAGAGATCAGGCATACTGTAGTTTTCAGAAAATATCCTGACCCAGGTAAGTCCAAAGTGCTGCCCTCTGAAGGATTTTCTACAGCCCCCGGTTCTCAATAAAAGCAGAGGTGGGTGTAAATGAACAATTTTCATCTTCTAGACCAAGGTTTTTACAGAGAACATCTTGAAAAATATGAAGAACAGAATACAGATTTCCATTTATTAATGACACTTTTGCATTCAACTTCTTTGTAGGAACTCGAACCACAAACACGATCTACGTACTCACCATTTAACATCTTGCGTTTAAAATGATATTTGGAGAAGTGACGCTTTTGATGCTTGTACACCCGTTCTGATGCTTGAAAGCCAACATTCATATTTTGACAGCTCTCCGGTCCTCGCTCAGCCCAGTAAGCTCGCACGGACTCGTCAATTTTCCCCCAATGCGCCGGATCGGTACTGTAC